TGGTGGTTGCGGCATTGCAATGGTGGGGTGTTAGAGATAGGATGGTGGAACCCTGCCCTGGCATCTCCTGGTCCCTGCTTGGGGACAAATCGCCATTGCCATGCAGGACAGAGCAGGAGGAGGGAGGTGTCCCGTGCTCTCGCCCCTGTGACATGGCTGTTCTCCAAAATACCTGTTTTATGGGAGGGATGGCTACCGGGAGGGGAAGAAAAGCTGCTGAATCCTTGTGTGAGAGCAGACGGGCACCACCTCGATGTAAATCCCTGGAGAGCTGGAAACCAGGAGCCCCAACCCCTTTGGGGACGTATTAGGCTATCCCTGGCAATAGTCTGTCTTTGGCTTCGTGGCAGAGACCTGTCCCTACACCCCAGGACAGGAATTTGGGCTCCTGGAAGGGGGTCCCCCCATTGCAGGCTGTCTGACACGGTCTCCCCGCAGTGCTGATGAAGAAGCTGGACCACCCCCATATCGTGAAGCTCATCGGCATCGCGGAAGAGGAGCCCACCTGGATCATCATGGAGCTCTATCCCTACGGAGAGGTGAGCCGGGCTCCCACTCCTGGAGCCCGTCCCACCCTTCCTGCCCCGGCTCGGTCCCTGAGCCCCCCTCGCTCGTCCCGTTGCAGCTGGGGCAATACCTGGAGCAGAACAAGCACTGCCTCGCCGTGCCCACGCTCATCCTCTACGCGCTGCAGATCAGCAAAGCCCTGGCCTACCTGGAGGCCATCAACTGCGTGCACAGGTAGGGCGGGAGGGAAAAGGAGCCGGGCGGGATGCCGGGAGGGGCAGGGGACGGCAGGGACCGCGGGGGGACAGGCAGGGGGGGAGCAGGAGCGGGCAGAGGCAGAGGCTGGCAGCATCCTTTGCTGCAGACCCCTTTTGCAGCTGGGTGAGCTGGTTGGGTGTGAGCTCTCCTCCTCCATCCCTTCTCCATGCCTTCTCCATCCCTTCTCCATTCTGGGTGAGCTGGTTGGGTGTGAGCTCTCCTCCTCCATCCCTTCTCCATCCCTTCTCCATCCCTTCTCCATCCCTTCTTCTCCCTCTCTCCTTGCAGGGATATTGCCGTGAGGAACGTCCTGGTGGCCTCCCCAGAGTGCGTGAAGCTGGGAGACTTCGGGCTCTCCAGGTACATCGAGGACGAGGAGTACTA